ATCGCCTAGAACAAGCAGCTGATCTTGAATCTGATCTCACTTCAGTAATAGATTGGGGTTCACAGTGGCTTGTGAATTTCAACTCTAAAAAAACCCAATTGCTTACTGCAAACAACTACCGTAATATGATCAACATTCATATATTAATGAATGGCAATCCTCTTACTGAGTCGTCCTCTTTACGTCTTCTTGGATTATCGCTTACTACTGACCTTTCATGGAAACCATATATACAATCGATTGCTAAATTAGCTTCTGCTAAGGTTGCTTCTCTTTATCGTGCTCGCCATTTCCTTACTTCTGATTCCATTCTCTATCTCTACAAATCTCTTATTCGTCCCTGTATGGAATACTGTTGTCATATTTGGGCTGGTTCTTCTAACGATTTACTCTCTCTTCTTGACAAGGTCCAAAAACGCATTGTAAATGTTGTTGGACCTGGACTATCTGCTAAGCTTGAACCTCTTTCCCATCGTCGTAAAGTTGCATCTCTTTCTCTTTTCTACAGATACTATCATGGTCACTGCTCAAAGGAGTTATCATCTCTAGTTCCATCAACTAAAATTCATTCTCGTTTTACTCGTTATTCAGCTAAGTCTCATTCGTTTACTGTATCTGTCCCTGCATGCTCTAAAAACTTTTATTCATCTAGTTTTTTTCCCCGCACTTCAATCCTTTGGAACTCTCTCCCATCTTCATGTTTTCCTGACTCATACAACCTTCAACTTTTCAAGTCTTCTGTCAACCGTTTCCTTGCTCTATAGCTCTGTTCTTTTTTTTCCTAGTAACTCCCAACTTAATAGTGGTTGCTTGCAGCCTTGTTGGGAGTGAATGCAAATTAAAAAAAAAAAAAAAAAACCATACTTCCTGCAAGTTCTCAATCTACTTCCAGCGCTGGTGGATCAACAATTACTGACTTTTAAGAGTGTTTTTCAAAAACCAAGTATCGACGTGTTAGTAAACTCCAAAAAAGTCACTTGTCAAATGAGCTATTATTTGCTTCAAAAGTTTCATTAAATAAAGAAGGAAAAATAGAAAAAGCTAAAGCAATAAACAAAATATATTTAGATAAGAATGTAGATTCTTCGATGCTTTCTGGAAAATGAAACATTGTTGTTGATGCTAGATTCAAATATAACCAAAGCTGCGTTTCAACTCCATAGAAATGCAGCAATTGAAAAAGAATGCAACCTGTATCTTGCATATAACAATATAAAATCATCAAAACTTTTGTGCTACCCTAATAACATGATTTGTACTGACTATACTGCAAGTATACCACTGCAAAGTTTATGTGACCATACACCTCAAAGACTTTGTCAAGTTCAAAATGAAGTTTTATGTATGCTAGAAACGTTTGACTTGGTATCTCTTCATTATAAAGCAGGTTTTGATGGGTCTACTGGTCAAAGCATATATAAACAAAAAATGTCTGTTGAAAGTTTTCGCAACTTGAAAAGAGTTGAATCATTGTTTCTAACTTGCCTGGTTCCACTTCAAATTACAACTTATTTTAGAAAAATCCTAACTGTCATTTGGAGAAATCTAAAACCTTCTTCCACTTTATATTGCCAACCTTTAAGATATAAATTTAAAAAAGAAACAACTAATTTATTACTTATTGAAGAAGCTGCTTTGAAAGACGAGATCTTAAATCTTGTAGAAACTTTTGTTCAGTTATCTAATGGCAAGTCTATTTCAGTCAAACATATCATTCAAGTTACAATGATAGATGGCAAAGTCCATACTGCTCTATGAAATGTAACAAGCTCTAGTAAATGTTGCTGTATATGCGGGTGTTCACCAAAAGACATGAACAACATTGATAAAGTTACAAAACTTCCATACTCACCGGATGAGCTTCAATATGGATTATCTACACTTCATGCATGGATAAGATTTTGAGTGTTTCATTCATATTTCATATAAGATACCAATAAAAAAATGGCAAGCAAGAGGAGACAAAGAGAAATCTCTACAAAAAAAAAACTCATACAAAAAAAATTTCAATACAAAATAGGACTTATTGTTGACTACCAAAAATGTGGAGGATCTGGAAACTCAAATGATGCCAATAGTGCTCAAAAAGCTTTTTCAAATGAAGACTTATTTGCTGATATTACAGGAACAAACAAGGAGTTAATTTTAAAGTTGCATATAATCCTAATTTGTACATCAAATGGATTTCGAATAGATACTAGTAAGTTTCACTTACTTTGTCTGGAGACCGCAAAACTCTACTCATGCTTGTACCATTGGTATTACATGCCTCAGAGTCTTCACAAGATCTTAATTCACGGAGCAGAAGTAATAGAAAATCTATTCTTACCAATAGGTCTATTTAGTGAAGAAGCTCAAGAAGCTAGAAATAAAGAATGTAGAAAATATAGGGAACATCATTCCCGTAAAAATTTAAGAACAAAGACAAACAAAGATGTAATGAAAAGACTTTTATGTACATCTGATCCAGTTATTTCATCTTATAGAAAGACTGTTTCATCTGTATAAAAGAAATTTCCTCTGGGTGTTGTTGAACTTTTTATTTGCGAAAATTCTACGTTCTTGAATATAGATATATCTAGTTTGTAATTTTTAATTGTAATTAAACCAAAAAATAAACTTTTTTAGCAATATATATGAGCTTGATATTCGTTTTACATGGTTTGTATAGTTAGTTTATAACAGTTCTAATAAAAAAAGTTTAAAATAATTTTGGCACAAAAAACGCGATTTTATCCCACTGTGCAATGCCAGCAAAACAGTTTATAAAATGTTTTAAATACTCTACTTTTTATTTTAGAATTTAACTTTTTTTTTCTAATTAGTTTTTAATTTGAAAAATTAATTGGATAATTTTTTGAGTATTTTGTAAAAAATATGAATTTGTAGAAAATTAGTTTATATTGATAATTAGTTTTTAATTAAATTTTTATTGAATTATCAAATTTATAAATATTCATGCCTGAAAAAAATGCATTCTAAATTTAAAAAAACATTAGCTTTATAAGAGTTTAACTCTTTATTAAGTATTTAACTAAATTATTAACTATTTATTTTAACTATTTATTTTATAAAAATTGTTTAGTTATTATTTTATAAAAATTGATAAGTCCATTGACAATTCTAAAAAAGCTAAAATGGCAAGTCCTAGCCAGTGACAATTAACTTTAGCAACAACAACACAGGCTATTTTTGAAAAAAAGTTTTACAGTTATTTTAGCCTTAAAATAAATTTGCTGTGCTGATAAACAGGTTGAGCTTGGCATTTTCAAATGCGTTAAAGTTAAAATTTGTTTTTATCATATTACTTCTAAATATATCACAGTTTCTACACAGGATCACCAATAACTGTGAATTCATACTTGCATTACATATAACCATAACCATCAAAACACTAGTGTATTTTTAATTTCAACAGTTAATTTTTCTAAAGTATAAAGATTATGAAGAAGCTTCCACTAAAGCATGGTATCATCTATAGCCCATTTTCAGTTGTTTTTTTGTTGTTGTTTTTTGTTTGTTTTTTTTCTAGTTATTTTGTACAGATCACAAAATATATTCTTTAGTCTGCAAAATAATCCTTTTATCAATTAAATTTTTTTACTCTTGTTGCAGAAGCCTCTCTAATAATTAAATATTTTTAAGAAAATTTATTAAATTATAACTGTGAAATATATCTGGATTAATGTTATAACATTAAAAAAAATACATAAAATTGTAGCGAAAGATTAACAAATAAATAGTTTTATTCTGAATCCTCAAATATTTTTGTTTTATTTTCATGTAATAACTGCTTGTATTGATTATTTTATAGTATAGTATATTCTAAAAATTGTTTTATGTTTATCAAGTATTTATATTGAGTTTATTGTAAGCTATATAGTCAGGGGTGTAACCTAACGGTCATACGACGACACAGGTGACTCATTTTCTCAAAAGGCAATGTATACTTTTAAAATTTTGTTGTTGCATTTTGAATCATGTTTTTTTCTCAATTTGAAATGATTTTTAAAATTACAGTTTCTTCCGATTCAAAATGTTATTAATATAATTAATAGAAATATTATTTTTTTAAACATATTTGTTGCATTTTGAATCATGTGAATGTTTATTGTAAATAATCATTTAAAGATTTATTTAAAAATAATAAAATATTATTTAAGATTTAATCAAAATTAAAATCCTATGTATTTACAATATAATATATAGTATTTAATATATTGAGATTTACTTTAATAACTATTTAATATATAATCTTTTATTTTTCATAATGTAACTTTAGATTAATTAGCGCATATTAGCGTATATTTAACAATGAATTACAAAAAAAATTAATTTTTTATATTACCACAATTATAAAACAAAAATTAGTTAGCTGGAATAATATTTTTGAAGTTGATAGAGTTAATTTTCATTTTAAAGCTCTTGATATTTTTGGCCTTAACGATGTCAGAAGGCAAGTTATTCCAAATATTAACAACCTTGAGGGAAAAAGAATATTTACAGACATTAAGTTGACACAAAAGTTTGCATAATTTAAATTTATGACCTCAAGTGTAAATATAGCTGTTTATTAAAAAGAAACTTGATATATTTAGGCAAATTAATTAGCGCAAATTAATCAGCGTTGTTTTATGAAAACAGTTCAGTGCTAGATGTTTCACAAACTTTTATAACAACTTTTTAAAATGGACCTGGTGCCGGGTACCCGGTCTTAGACCCAATATTTTCTTATAGGTACCTGGAATCAGGGACTCAGCATAAACTGGTTCCGGCACATCTCTACTGCAAGGTAACTAAGAAAAAATTAGAGATTCCACTCCTGATAGTTTATTATTGATATAAATAGGAACTAATGGGATACAAAGCCAATACTTGCACAGCAGTTCAACTTTTGATCTTATATGACATGTAATAGTAAAGAAGTAAACATATTACAGGTTGCATTACAGAAGTGTCTGATTAAATGTCCAACTATATCAACTAATTTACTCATTTAGGTTATTGATGTTTTAATCCGTGAAGAAACTTTACTTAATGTGGTTAAAAGTGTAACAAGAAATGGTCGTTCTATTGTTTTGACTGCCTTGCTGGCTTTGGTTCTTGTGTATTTATTCTCCATTGTTGGTTTTATATTCTTTCAGGATGATTTTATATTAGAAGTAGAACCATCAATATCTAAAGGTAAAAGTTCATAAAGAAAAATAATAAATAAACAAATAAATCCCTTTTAGCTCTTGTAATAACAATTTACTGCTTTGGGTGTCAAGAAATTTGTAAGTTTACAGTAATGTAATTGCTAATAAATCTTTTTTGTTGCTTTTTAAAAATAAAAATTTATAAAAAACAAAATCACCAATGTTTAGTAATGTCTGAAAAACATGAATGTGTAAGGGAAGTTTGATTTGTTAAAAAATTAAAAAAAAAAAATTGGTTAATCAGTTATAAAAACTTAGATTAAAACAGGAAAAAAGATAGGTTCAAAACAAGTTAGCTAAAGGCTCTTTAACTATTTTTTCATTTTGAACTAATATACTTGGAAAGACAGTTTAATATGAAAAAATAAATTGGTTGCTTCAATTTAAGTTGAAAGTATGAATATAAATTAAGTAATTTATTTGGAGGTTCAAAATGTTTTTGGTCTTTTATTATGATTTAAAGAATTAAATTTAGAAATAAAAAAAAAATAAAATAAAATAAAATAAATAAATTTTGTATGAAGTAATAAAATAATAGTTCATGGATAAAAGTTTTTTACTTTTCAAAAATGTCAAATATAGTTAAATTTAAAGAACTAATGTTTTTTATATTCTGCTTTTGTAAAAAATTTTGTAAAAATAAAAAAAGTCAATGCATGAAGAATAAACTAAAGTTAAATTAAAACATTAGTAAAAAAAGATAAGTAAAATAAATGGAAATTATTACTTTTTAATAAATAAGTTTTTCAATAAAAAGTCATGCAGTAACTGTTTTATTTTTTTGCATCAATTTATCCAAAAGCATATTGATGTTTACTAAAAAATAAATTGATTCTTGTAACATTTTCCATATTTATTACCAAAATAATCTGACCACTCACAATTGTTATGGATAATTACTTATAAATAAATATATATGCTTACAATACACTAAACAATTGTAGCGTGGGTGACTTTGTAATTATCAACCAATAAGAAAATATTTTATATGCTCTTTACATTTAAAACATGTGTAATTCAATCATTATTAGTATCACTTGCTAATTTTGCGTACAACTTTTAATGGATTCCTGCACAATTTACCATGCTTTTAACTTTTATTTATGATATTGCTTAGCTGTCAAGTCAGCAGATGTCATCAATCCAGGAAAACCTTGTTCATTTAACCTTTCACCTTTTAACAAAACACCTTTCTCAAAAAAATATTTGTGATCCCCTTAAATTTTGGAAAATTTGGTGACCTGTCATTTTCTCAGACAAAGCACAAGTTAATCAGTTTGCAGCACACAAGTCATCAATATGTTGCACTTTCTGCTTGACAATGTCTTGCGATTATGATTTAGTCAGTTGTGCTGGTTTACACTTTTTGAGACTGTCAACTCCATGTTTCTAGTTAATAGAATAATAGTAATTTGGTTTTTTCAAGCATGACAGGGCAACTTGCCATCAGGCACTGCTAAGTTGGGCAATTCGCCCAATTTAACCCTGTCTAAAACTGTTGACTAAAATTGTAGCAGTAGTTTGTAAATGGAATTCAACCTCATGTGCATATCATATTTTTTTATCTTTTATTCAATTATTTTTATTATTATTGCTCAATCCATAATTGTCACCTGAATCAGTAGTTTTTTGTTTTAATTTAATCATTCTAAACCTAAGGTGCAGCTGCAAAGGATTTTGTTGCATTCAAATGTTCTTTTCAATCAAAGCAAGTTTTGCAAATTTTGCACTGCTTTGCAATATTTGAATTGAGGTTTTAGGCTATATTTTTGTTTCAATTAATTTTCAACATTTATAAAAATAATATGAAAGTTTTGTCATTGTGAGAAAGGCAACAATTAAAGTGAAATAATTACTATTTTAGTTATGTAACTTTTTACATGCTATATGTGTACTTAAACAACTTCAACATCTTTAAAGCTCTATATCACAATTTTCATGATAAAAGCAAGAAATCATTTTTTAAATATGTGTACTCAAACAACTTTAAAATATTTTAAGTATGTTTTTTATCACAATTTTTATGATGAAAGCAAGCAATCATTTAGAAATAAATTTTTTAATTGCAAAACATGGTATTTGATAAAGATAAAGTTGAAGAAAATTTTAACTTTTTCTGCCAAAGGTTTTAATTTATAAATACAAAAATTATTTTATTAAAATATGTAATTTTTTAATTTTGAAAATATTTATAATTTTTGTATAAATTACAATAGGAAAGGTCTAAATATTTTATTTGTTATTAACATTTCATTTAATATAATAATTTTATTTATTTTAACATCAAAAGGACTACATAGTTCTTGACCATTATTATCATCATCAGTTTAATGATGTTAATATTGAATTTTAGTCAATCCATTTTGCACTAAAGAAAACTGCTCTGTTACTAATCTATGGAAAGCTGAGGATAACAATGAAGATAATCCAACAACAGTGAGAGAGCATTCTTGCAATAATCTCTTAATGTGTATTGTCACAACTTTAAATAAAGGCTTGCGAAATGGTGGTGGTATAGGTGACGTTTTAAGAGTTCCTTCAAAAACTGTAAGTTTTTTTATTTATCTTGTCAATTTGTTACATCATTTTTTAAAATATGAAATTCGTTATTGTTATTACTATTACTATTATTGTTACTATGTTTAAAGTATTTAAGAAAAAATATATTTATTTATTTGTGTGTAATATATTATTGCCGTGTTTTTATTATTAAATTTCTACATTATCTCCTTTAAACACATCAAAATAAATAAATAAATTTCTACATTATCTCCTTTAAACACATCAAAATAAATATATGAATAATCTTTTTGAATTTTTTAACTAAATTTAATAATCTTGATTTGATCTCTCTTATTATGATTCTCGCTTAATGCTCGCTTACGAAACATTATTAAGTCCTAAAATAGTCCTAAAAGACAAAGTTTGAGCAAAAAAATTTTCAATTGTTTAGTAAATTCAATTTGAGAACTTAAAAATTTTTAAATCCAAGTAAGATTTGTTATTTTGTTGAGATTATATTTTTTTTTGTATCCTAGAAAATATTTTTGTTTTTTGTAAAATATATGGTTCAGTTTTAACATAGAGAAACTTATAAAATATTCATTTAATATTTGTAGGCCTAATATGAAGTTTTATGGAGGCCTCGACATAAAATAGTTTTTAAAACTTGTTAAAGCAATCTAAATGAGAAACAACATATGATTAATTAATCTCTCTTAAATCATGGTATAATACCTGTAAACATTTCTTTATAGGTCTTTTAAAATATATGCAAAATATATTTTATTTGTAAAATATATTTTTAAAATATGTTCAGAAAATCGTTATTAAAAAAATTCTTTTTTTTTTTTTTTAGGATAAATATTTTGCTGCTCGTGTAATATATGATTTACTATTTTTCTTCATTGTCATTATTATTGTATTAAATCTTATTTTTGGTGTCATCATTGACACATTTGCTGATCTAAGGAGTGAAAAACAAACAAAGGAAGAAATATTAAAAAACACCTGCTTTATATGTGGTAAAAAAACTTTCTCTAGAACAATAAATAATTTTAATATATTATGGATATTATCTTGTTTATATTTGATTTATATATATATATATATATATATATATATATATATATATATATATATATATATATATATATATATATATATATATATATATATATATATATATATATATATATATGTATGTATATCACGGACAATAACAAGTCACCCACAATACCAAATAACATTGTTGATAAAATCAAAACTCAAACAATAAAAATTAAATTATTTATGTCGGGGTCTATAAAACTGCAATAATTTTTTTTTTTGAATTTGATTCCAAAGAAAAATAAATATATTTATAACTTATTTTACCTCATTCTAAATCAAAATCAAATATATATTTTTTTCTGAATAGAAGTTTTTACATCAAGGATATTTACAAATAGTAATGAGTACTAATATTAAGTAAACATCTGTGAACTAACTAAATGAAATTTGCTATTTACAATTTTTAATTTACAGTTTTTCTGTCTAAAATAAATGTGGCAAAAGTAAGAAACATTATGAAATATAATGTTTGCCAATACTTGTTTGTTAAAAATGATTGATATTAAAAACATTTTTCTAAAGATATCAAAAATAAGCATTTTTAACTAAATTTTTTGGAATTTATATTCAGGAAAAAGTATAACTAATAACTATAATGGTTTATCAAAATTTTTCATTAGACATTAGATCTGGTGTGATCAAAAAAGGGCACAAGCTACAGACAATGTTCTGAAAAATATCATATATCATTAGGTGGTGTTAGAAAGATGTCCATAAAATATAAAATAACTGGTTTTGTTAAAAATCAGAAAAGAATTGGTCACTCTCCTAAAATTTCAACAAGTACTGATATGGTAAATTCACGGATAGCAAAGAAAAATTCAAAAATAACCTCAAGACAGATTGTTGAAAATCTTAAGTTAAATCTTTCCAGTCACACTGTACCAAGAAGACTTAAAGTGGTTTAATTAGGTTTAATTAACTCAAGCGGTTTAATTAGTGGTATAAACAAAAAAAAAGTTTAGCATTTGCAAAGCTGCATAATAACAAGAGTGAGACATTTTGGAACCTGATTGGAGCTGATGTCATCTCAAAGCTTGTAAAAAGCAGACATTTAGAAGCAGCCATAAAAGCAAGAGATGGTGCAACAGAGTACTTAAATGAAAATTAGACATAATATTCTTGCATTTATAATAACAGTTATTGACAAAACATTATACTTAATAATAAAATCTTTGATGTTTCTTACTTTTCTCACATTCATTTTGGAGGGAAAAATTGTATGATAGCAAATTTCATTTAATAGAGTTAGTATTGCAATGTTAAAAGAGTCAAATTATAAAAAAAAAATTATTGCAATTATGTAGATCCTGACGTAGATAATTTTGTTTTTATTGCTAAAGTGTTGATTTTATCAATAATGTAACTTAATATTGTCTGTGACAATATATATATATATATATATATATATATATATATATATATATATATATATATATATATATATATATATATATATATATATATATGTACGTATGTATATATGTGTGTATATGTGTATATATATTTATATGTGTATATATATATATTTATTTATATATATATATATTTATATATATATATATATATATATATATTTATATATATATATATATATATATATTTATATATATTTAAATATATATATGTATATATATATATATATATACATATATATATATATATATATATATATATATATATATATATATATATATATATATATATATATATATATATATGTACACATATATATATATATATATATATATATATATATATATATATGTATATATATATATATATATATGTATATATATACACACATATATATTATAGGATTGGAGCGTGCTGAGTTTGATAATCGCAGTGTTACATTTGAAGCTCATATAACAAAAGAACACAATATGTGGGATTACTTATATTTCATTGTTTTACTGAAAGTTAAGGATCCAACTGAGTTTACTGGACCTGAGAGTTATGTGTCCGAGATGATCAAGGTAATTAGTTTTCATATTCTTGCTTTTTTGTTTTTAATACCTAATTGTTCTTTATTTTAAGCATTTAATTTATTTTCAAGAACCGTTGCTTGGAATGGTTTCCTTATCTTCGCAGTATGTCTTTATCTGTCGGCGAGACTGAAAATGAACAAAATGACATTCGTAATTTACAAGCACAATTAGAATCCACAAATAGTTTAGTTCAAACACTATCTAAACAGCTTAATGATTTAAGAGATCAGGTATATAAAATTCTGTAGATTTACGTTGACAATAATATTTTGAGTCTTGAATAAAAGTAGTTATTAGTTTTAAAATAAAAATTTATTACAAAATTTATTTATTAAATAAATTTTGGTACATTATATTGCTTATATTGAGGTAGTCCAATTAAAAAGTTATATTGTTTTTTATATAACTTAAAATCTAAAAACTTAAAATTAGCAAAGTTTATGATTATTTTAATTTATGATTTATATCAGAGCGTTATTTTTGTGGTATTGGTTAAGCTAGTATGTTTGGTAGAATTTATTATTAGGTCTTCAAGTCAGGTCATGGATGTTGTCCACCTACTTTAAGATCAAAAATTTTCCTAAGAATTAAAAAAAAATTACCTAGCAGGCATAATGCATAAAATAAGTAACTAAATAGGGTAATTCAGGGCAATATGTGACAGGAAAGATGAGACAAGTTTCTTTAATTATTTCTGGAGATAGTAATAATCATTTTCCTTCATTATTATAGATTTTGTTTGTGCTTTTACTTGCTAAGCATAGCACACCTGTTTTTTGGTTTAATTTGTTTGATGACAAAAAAACTAGTATTTTTTTGACTTGATGAAGCCATTATTTTTTTAAACGCGTTTCTTAGTGAAGACATATTCTTGATAAATATTTAAAAGTACCAGTGTTTGCTGATTACTTTTAGAAAAACAATTTCTTTATTATTCACTCCCTAAAAAGAAAAGAAAACTTAATTTGATTTGTAGCGTGTTTTTTTTAACACACGGTCTTTGTGGGAAAGATGAGACAGTCCATAGTTCAGTTATTTTTATTTTAAGATATTCTGATATATACTCCGAAAAATTAAAAACCTTTTTGTAAACATTTTATGGTTTTTATGATGGTTAGAAATTACAAACTAAAGACGTCATATAAATTGGTATGAAAACAATATGAAATTAGCTATCCAAGCTGTCATAAATAAAGTAATGATATTAGGTAAAGTTGCAAATGAATATTCGGTTCCAATAGATTCCCTAAACAGAAGAGTTAATAAGTCAATAAAAACAATGCCTGCTGACAAATTACACGTGCTTGGTTCTTATAGAAAAGTGTTATCTGATGCCTAAGAAAAAGATTTAGCACAGAATCAAAATGGAGTATGGAGTTAGTCTTTAATGGTCTATCAATTAATGAACTTCAAAGGGTGACTATGTTGTACACAATAAAATAAACCATCCATTTAATACTGAAAAGAAACTTGCAGGTCGAGATTTTATAGCTGGATTTTTAAAGACGACAATTATTTTGTCTATTATTTTGTCAAAAACCTGAGACAGTATCTATAAATGGAGTTTTTGTTTTAAATAAAGCTGCTGTTTAAAGATATTTTGATAATCGGTAAAAGCTTATTAAGGAAATCCAATTCAAAGCAAATTGCATCTACAACTGTGATGAATCTGGACTAACATGTGTTCATAAGCCTTTAAAAATAATAGCTGATAAAGGTTAATTGATAAGTTAGTTAAAAGCTGCATATTTTTTTATTTGCCTTAGCGAAACACCAAATTATTATTAGTATTAGTATTTTTGTATTTATTTTTATTTTGTATTGTCTATATTTTTATAATTGTATTTTAACAGGCCAACCTGATGTATCTTCAGTTACTAGTGGTGAGGCCCAGTAAACACTACATACCTCCTATGATTGTTTTTAAATAAAAACGAATTCTAGATTCATTGACTTAGGATGCACCACTAGGAACAGCTGGATGCTGCTCTAAAAGTGGTTGGGTAGAGACTAATCTGTTTATGGATTTTATAAGACACTTTTTAATACATGCGAATTGTAGTAAACAAATAAGTGCTTGTTAATTCTTGATGGTCGTAAATCACACACCAAAGATCTTGGTCTTCTCAATTATGCTAGCAATAATGGATTGCATATTTTATCACTACCACATACATTCCATCACTTGATCAAACAATGTTCAAGTCTTTGAAGAGTGCTTATATCTTATTATGTACAACTTGGATGAGAAAGCAAGCAGGAAGAAGAAGTACAGTTGATAAACTTTCAGGACTATTTTGTTAACCTTATGTGAAAGTAGCTACAGTGGAAAATGCTATTTCTAGATTTAGAGTTACAGGCATCAACCTTTTATTTCGAGAAATCCTTTCTGAGTCTGATTATTTTGAAAATTCGTGTTTAAAAATGAGTAATGCAAACATAATATTTATTGAAATAGCATATAAAAACCCTGAACAATCATCTGCAATTAATTTTTTAATTAGGCCAAACTAAAATTTGAATGTTCAAACATCCATTGCTAGTTTTTCAGCTGATGAAATAAATGCATCGTTGTCAATTTCAAACTCTCAACAGTTTTCTTTTACTGATATATAACTAACTATCGAAGTGAAGACAACAAAAAGAAAAGGGAGAAAAGTCAGAAATTTTGACAAGCTCATCATATAAAAATACTTTGCATGAGAGGTTAGAAAACAAAAAAAAACTTGCATCAACAATACATCAAGAAAAGACTATCAAAAGAAAAGATTAAACTAAAAAAAGTTGATAAAATGAAATATGGAGTCTAACGAGAAATGTGTCTAATGCTTAGATGTAAGTTATGGTATCATGACGTTTATTTTGTTAGGTTAGGGACAGAGTTTTTTTTTTGAACTGTGTGTGTGCTGTGATTATATTTAAACATTTTATGATCCATGATTACATGTCTTATAGTTGAGTATAACTTGTGTAACAATTTGTTCGGGTGGTTGGTAAGTTTGAACTAAGTTTCTAAGTTTCCAGGTTGAACTAAGTTTCTAGGTTAACTGTACTTAGGTTAGGCAAGCTGGTTGATTTTTTAAGCTAAAGCTACTATATTTTTTAAGAATTATAATTAATATCTTTTATTATAAAAAATAATTGGATCAATCTCTTATTTTTTTCTCTTTAGTTGCATAACATATGTTGTCTCGTTTTGCCCCGTAAAGGGGGAAACGTGAGTCAAGTTGTTACTGTTTTTGAAATCCTCTGTGTATCCAATTAAAAATAAATTTAAAAATTTACTCATGTTTCGAAAAGAGTTACCCTGAATAGGCTCTACTGCATACTTGTTTAGTTTTTTGCTTAATTCCAGGTCTATTTACATAATTTTTAATCCTTGAGTGTCTCGTACTGCCCCGAATCACCCTAAATTTTCAGGTACGCAATTAACCTAGTTGCGCCTAGGTAGGTTACGCATTTTTTAAATTAACTGAAAATCTGTAATATCTTTTTTTGTTTGTGTAAGTTGGATATATGACAAAATGGCTATCGCTAAAAAAAAATATGTTAAATATTTTAAGTCTTATAACAAATTAGTAGGTATTGTCTCTTGCCATATGTTTCAAACGTTTTTTATATTTTAGATGATAGAACAACGTAAATATAAAATGAAAATCAATTTATTGGGGGGCGCTCGTAATCAAGAATATTCAAATCCATCACTATATAACTATGTTCGTTAATATCGTCCATTAGTATGTAATTATGTTTGATAATAGTGACTTAAATATTAGAAGATTTTGTTGCGTTTATTTATTACAAGAGTTTTTTAAATTATTTGTGCGGTGTTGATATATAATGCACGATAAATATTTTTGTGTATTTTTAAATTGTGTTAATAATATTATTGTTAATGTATATATATATATATATATATATATATATATATATATATATATATATATATATATATATATATATATATATATATATATATATATATATATATATGTCTATATATATATATATATATATATATATATATATATATATATATATATATATATATATATATATATATATATATATATACATATACACAGACACACACACACACACACACACACACATTGAGAATTTTTGGGTAAATATCATTTTTTTGTAGTGTCAGTTGTGCAAATCACGAAACACGGTTTATTATTTATTTATCATTTTTTTATAATTTTTATCAGAAGTTAATCTTTTCCTAAGTGTTCATATGGGTCCCTCAATTTTTTTTTTTTTATTTTGATTGTGAGAATTATTTCAATTCATGTTTTTTTTATAGTGCACTTGTTAGGTAATATTTTTTAAAGAAATAACAAAATTTGAATAAAGTTACTATTTAGAATACTACGATTTAAACAATTAAATTTAATGACTAAGACATTACATTATATTTATATATATATATATATATATATATATATATATATATATATATATATATATATATATATATATATATATATATATATATATATATATATATATATATATATATATATATATATATACATTCACACACATACATACATTCACTTACTGTCATATTTTGTGAAGCTTTTTAAAGATGCTTAATGTGCGAGCAGTTACATAAATTTCTGTAGAATATTTCTTTCTACTTTTTAGATTATAATTTTATGTGAACTTTTTTATACGATATAACGAAAAACATTTTTTGTAAAACTTCTCGAATATAGTTGTCAAATTTTAATTTCTCGTTTTTTCTCTGTTTTATTGTTGTTGTTTTTTTATATATTTTTTTTACAAGATATATAAGTTTGCTTCTGTATATCTAATTTCAAACTTAAATTTAAACAAGTGTAAATTTTAGGGTTTGCGTTAAAATTTTATTAAAAAAAAAACCTAAAATATTATCAAAGATTCTTAATGGATTAAAATAAGGTTTATACTATATAGTATAAACCTATATATATGTGGATACACATGCATGTATACATATATACATACATGCATACATACATACATACATACATACATACATACATACATAAATGCATGCATAATATACAACAGCAACACAAAATTAAAACGAAGAATTAACTTTAATCGAGAACAACAGTTTGAATGAGTATTTATTTAATTTGTGCGCCCAATCGAATGAGATTCGAATTCCGATCAAAATTTCCCATAGGTAAAAGCAGAGTTGATAATGCTGCCCGGCGGCAAAGTAACTTTCTGCCGAAAGGCCGACTTTTTAGGGAGGCGGAAGCTGTTAGCGGCGGCCTCCCATTCAATTTTTAGCGGCAAAATGTTCTTTCTTCTGCCTCCAGTAGCTTCTGCTCTTCTATTGGAGGCCATAGCCAGAGTTATTTTTTGGAGGCAAATGTTTTGGAGGTCGGCCCCTTTAGGGAGGCGAAAGCCATTGGTGACTGTTTCCAGAAAAACTTGTGCCATTGGAGGCGGCCTTCAAATGATTCTGCCTCCTAACCGGCTGCGACCGCCAATTTGAAGGCGGAAATATTTGTCTCTCGCCGGCGGATGTAATAAAAAATAATTGCTCGTTTGCTTTAAAGCAATTAAATAATAACTAGAATCAAATGTGAAATACTTGACATCAAGTTTCATTTATATGATTCTTTGCAAACGTTTTGAGTATTTAAAAAAGTTCTTTTTTTTTTTTTAAACTAATAAATTAAGTAGAATAAATTAGTAGTTTTATTATTCAAAACAAAAGTTAAAAGTTGAAAACTTTACTTCTATGCCATTGGCGAATAAATCTTTTTGACAAAAAAAAATTATGATAATTAAATTGACTGATTTTGTTCAAAGTTTTTTAGAACATGCAAAAAATTTTATCTATTTTATCATTTGCCATAACGTTAAATACTTATTTTTAATAATTGAATATTGTAAAAGTTGTTGAAAAAATATCTACTAATATTAGTAATATTTATAAAAAATTTGTGACCACGCTGTATTACTCTAATAGTTTTGCCAAATTACAAAAAAAAAAAATAATAAAACTTATAAACTTTAAATATATATACTTTTATAAATATTATTTTTACTTTACTCTATACTTTTAAAACGTTTAAAAACAGAGACTCGTCTACTTTTACACGTTTTAAAGTTTTAAGCGATTAAAAGTTTAAAACGGTTAAAAGTTTAACTTTTTACCGCTCTGAAAAAATTATAAGTTTTTTTTCAAAAAATTTTTTAAATGGTCAATAAATCATATTAAACAAAACTTGTCAAACATTTAAAATTTGTCAAACATTTAAAATTTGTTCTCAGTTAATATTTTAATTGCTCGTTAACTTGAAGACAAACGTACAATAATTTTTCATTACATCCGCCGGCGGGAGGCAAACATTTCCGCCTCCAATTTGGCGGCCGCAGTCAACTGGGAGGCAGAAGCTATTGGAGGCGGCCTCAAAAGGTTTTGCCTCCAAAATTTTTTCTGGAGGAGGCCACCATTGGCTTCCGCCTCTCTTTTGGCGTCGGCCTCCAAAACATTTTGCCTCCCAAAATAAACTCTGTCTGCGGCCGCTAATAGAAAGACAGAAGCCACTGGAGGCGGAATAAAAAAAATTTTGTCGCTAAAAATTATTTGGGAGGCAGTCGCCGTCTGCCGCGGAAGAAAAGTGGAGGCGAGAATATTTACGCCGTTTATCAACGGTGGGAAAAAGTTTTAATCTAAAAATCAATGAATTTATAACAGTAAAAATACGATTAAGTTGGTAACGATTTAATTTGGAAAATAAGTAATTTTGTAGTTCTAATGTTTTAAACGGTTAGTTTTTATTTTTTAAACTGTTTCGGTAACACTTTTAAACTCACTAGTCGTTTAATTTACATTTACATTCAACATTTAATTACCTCAAATATCAAAAAGATGTTATGAAAGCGGCGCACACAAAAAAAAGCAAAACAGAGCCGAAAAGTAGCAAAATTTGCCTTGCTGGATTGTTAGAAATATTTTTAAAGCGAGGCGAAATTTCACCTGTTTCGAACACTTCTTTAATCGAAATATGCAATTTAAATGATAAATCTTAACTTGAAAACGATACGGTTGAAGAAATATGAAGGAGTCACAACTTCAAAACATTGATAACCAAAACGAGAATGTTAACGGTGAATACGGATCCTATAGCGTAAATATTGAGAATATTATATCTGACAATACTTTAGAAATTAGAGTAAACTGTAAACTGACCTATTTCTGGTGACGTCCTAGTTCTAGCCGATTTTTAGCAATCGATAGCATATAAATAGCAATCGATAGCATAGTTGAATTTTGATTTTCATGAGAATTAAATATTTGATCTTCGGCATTTTCATGAGAATTAAATAGTATATTTTTATTATGAAAAGTAATAATACTCTTGATGTTTAGAAAGCAGCTATAACTAACCTTTAAGTTATTCCGGTTAAAAAGTTTGTGTTTGTGGATTAATCTAGATAATGTTTCTTTTTCGAGATTTTGTATAATATTTCTGGATATTTGGAATGAAGTTGATCTTATCTTTGAATTCACAAGAATTGAGAGCGTTATTATAAAATGGTGCGACTCTATCAAAAGCTTCTTTGCTTGAAGATATATTACTGATGGATTAGAGATCATTTTTGGTATTTATTTAAAGATGCTTGTTGGATAATTGGAATTGATGTTAATATATAAAGGATTATCTCCAGTTTTTCTATATGGTCTAAAAGAGTTCTCAGAAGAGTTATATGTGATATCAAGAAAATTTACGGTTTTAAAAGTATAGTTACTTCTTTTGCAAGAACCTTTTTGTTGCTACTAGTGTTTAAAAGATCAGTTTTGAACTTAGTGTTTTGATCATTCCAAATATAGCTTATAATCACTCCTCCCCTTTTAATGACTGTTTTTTCATAAGAACATTTTTATAATTCGGAGCAAAGCAGCAAGAACAGAATTTGTTCTTGCTGCTTTGTTAGAGCATCAAATTTATGTGAGGCAGATTATACTAAAAATATGTTTGCTATCGAGAATATAATTTTTAAATTTTTCTATATTTATAAGTAAACTTCTTATGTTTATATGTATTATCGTAAATTTTATTTTTAATAGTTTAAAGTTCAGATTTAAAATTTTGAATATCAAAATATGCAGAGTCATTAACTATAAAAATAGGCCCTGATGAAGACTCAATCTTAAAACATTTGGAGTTTTATTTGTCATTGAAGTTGTACTTCTTAACAACATATCACCGAAGATGATTGTAGTCAGTTTATATTATTTTTCGTTTAAAAAACTAACATCGTCATAGTGATTGTTTTGTAAAACAATCTCGGTTTTAAAGATATTCAAATGCAACGTTTCAAAGTCTATTGCTTCTCTAGCTACAACAATTTTATAATATTTTTAAAAAGATTAAAGATGGTTGCTTAAAATACCTGCTAATTTTTTTACGCTATCTATCATAAATTTTATTAAAATTAATAATTGCGTACTTACCAGCTTTGTAAATCCGTTTAGTTTACTCCCGTAGTTTCTTAGGCTGTTCAAATTATTCTTTTGCGTAACATTTGTTTAAGAACAACCCAGTTACTCTTTTTTTAACATGAAGAACTTTTGTTTAACTTCAATTAAGAGTTTTGTTCTCTTTTACATTTCCAATAAAAAGTACTTTACAGTTTTGAATTATCGAATTATTGAACTTATCAAGTTTTCTTTTAATAAGCTTTTTCCCCAAATTTCGACAATCTTCCAGCTTTCACCTTTTATTTCATTTAATCGCAATTAATTCTGAAGATGTTTCGCAATTATTTCGCAATTAATTCTAAAGATGTTTCGCAATTATTTCGCAATTAATTCTAAAGATGTTTCGCAATTATTTTGCAATTAATTCTAAAGATGTTTCTTTGTGAGCG